TAATCTCAGTTAGCTAAGACTCATCCAGGCAACCAAAGATTTCCAGTGAGATGGAGAGCTCATATTTAATTGTCTAAGATGAGGCCTGGGACATATAGAATTAAACTTTTTATTTTTAAAAACTCAAGTTGAGAGCTGGGAAGATGGCTCAGATAGTAAAATGCTTGCCTTGCAAGCATGAGGACCTGGGTTCAATCCCCGGAACCCATATTCAAAATCCAGCACTGGACAGCCAGAGGCAGGTTGGCCATCCAGCCTAGACTATTTGGCAGGCTTCTGGCCAGTGAGAGACCCTTTCTTAAAAACCAAATGGGGGACTGGGGAGATGGCTCAGCAGTTAAGAGCATTGGCTGTTCTTGCAGAAGATCTGGGTTCAAATCCCAGTGCCCACATGGCAGCTAACAACTGACCTCCATGGGCACTGCACAACACTAGTACACTTACATACATACATGCAATACACACATGCACCTAAAATTTAAAAAATCAAAAACAAAGTGAACCACTCCTTCAGAATGACATCAGTGGTTGTCCTCTGGCCTTCAGAGGTACATGTGCACCTGCACACATGTAAACATAAATGCACATGCACACACAAAAGTCAAGTTGACTTTTAAATCATATCCATGATTTAGAGCCATTACTAGAGAAAGATGTCAGGTGGCAGGCTTAAAAGTCGCTCTTCCTCTTGTTGAATGCAGATGTGATTTCCACTGAGGCCCCATGGTCTTCACCCTTCCTCTACCTATCACATATGAGCTCTACTGAGTATCACTGACAAAATGGTCCCTGGAGTGTTGTTCCAGGATCAGCATCAGCAGCCCAGTTGGTCTGAGTTTGTTGGAAATGCAAATTCCTACGCCTAACTCAGCAGTATGGAATCAGAAACTTGAGGGGTGGAGCCTATGATCTGTGGCCTTCCAAGCCTTCCAGGTGATTCTGTGGCAAAGATGGAAAGTCACTACACTGAGGCATATGGACCTCAACTGCTCAGCAGAAACATCTGCCCACAACTAGGGAACAGCCACTTCTGGGCTGCCTTTTGAGTTAGTGACTAGGATTCTAGTCTGACCATATTCAGAGACTCATGAGTCAGGTCCATGATTACAGTTATCATTAGAGACTAGTACAAACTTAGAGCTTATTAGATTAGGAATACTGTACTGCTGCTGAGGGTGCCTGATGTTCCTGCTGTAGGCCAGACATTCTTCTGAGGACTCTGCACACATCAACTCATTTATCTTTTGCTGCTGTGAACTAGGTGTGTAATTGTCCCTATTTTCTAGATAAGGAAACTGAGGCACTGTATTAGTCAGGGTTCTCCAAAGAAACAGAACTGGTAGAATGAATGTATATGTATAGGGATTTATCAGCTTAGCTCACAGGATAGAATCCGAGTAGTCCAACAACGGCTGCACCACATTGGAGAGGCTGAGAATCCGTAGTCGCTCAGTCCATGAGGCTGGATGTCTCAGTAGTCCTGATCTGGCACTGAAGGTCTGACGAATTCCAAAAGATGAGCTAGTCTTCAGTCTACAACAGCAAGACGAACTCATCAGCAAGAGAGAAGGCAAGCAGTAAGAAGCCAGGCGTTCTCCTCTACCTTGGCCTTTTATACCGGCTGCCATGAGAAGGTAACACCCACATTTAGGGTGTGTCTTTCAGCTTCAGATGATCCAATCAAGAAGATCTCTTTCATTTCAGTTAATCCCAGATCCAGTCAAGTTGATACCCAGGATTAGCCACCACAGGCACTGAGACCTTATGGAGTCACATTGAGTCATCCTGGCTCCCTAGACCCATGACATTTGTCACTATGTCTGCCTTTCCTGTGAAAAAAAGGGAGGGGGAAATGAAATCTAGGAAACACAGTGTCTGATACCAGCATGGTGCTCTCTCTTGCTGGAGAAGAACTGTTAGCATTCGCTCTTCCTCCCACAGACCTGGCACACTGCCATGCCTATCTGGTGGAAATGAGCCAGCTTCTACAAAGCATGGATGTCCTGCATCGGACTTACTCAGCACCTGCCATCAATGCCATCCAGGTGAGCCTGCACTCTTCTGTTTGCCTTCCACCTGCTGCTTCCTTTCTCCTCCCCAGCCTTTGACTAACAGTGGGTTGTTGTCTGGCCAGTTGCTGCAGCCAAATCAAGGGGATGGATGTGGTCACTTCCTTATGCACTTATCCCTGTTGGTTTGGTGGACCTTACTGTCTGTGCTCTTTCCTGTTTTGAAACAAAGGGTGGAGCTTTTGAAAGTCCCAAAAAGGAAAAACGATCGCACAGGAGGTGGCGGTCCAGAGGTATTGGCAAAGATGCTAAAGGAACGCTGCAGGTAACCATTGCTTCACCACCAGGCTTGCTTTCTTTGTGGTGCTGTTCTCACACCAAGGATGGGGCCTCCCTTGACTCAGATAGAACAAAAAAGTGAAGGTTCTGGAGTTGATCCCTGCAGTCCCCAGTGGGATGAGATGGCTCCATCACTTAGACCGTCTGGGTACCAGGGTGACCCTGCAAAGATGCTGGGCAGGGGGAGAATGTTTTCAGAAGAAAGTGGCATGAGGTTGGAGAGTGCCACGTACTGAGGGCTTTGGGTCTTCCCTTCTTCTGGCTAGCCTTTCTGTCCTCCCTGCTTGGATGTGTTCTGTGCTTTGCCTGGCTGTTGCAGTGGCCCTGTTCTCTGACTTACCTTTACTGCTCACGTCCAGTGAGTTTGTCATCCCTTGGAGCCCACAAGCCCAAGTCCTTGGGCCCAAGACATCCCTCAGTCTCTCTTGCCATTTTTCTCAGAATTCCCAGTCCTCCACCAGAGCCTCCATGTAGGGTGCTAGGAGCTGGCCTTGCTAGGCACAGCTGAGCCACAGGCAAGACTGTTGTATACTAAACACCAGCAATGTTAGGATCAAAGTGCATCTCCAGCTTTTCGAGACATTCTTGTGGGCTTTAGGCATTGAACTCCAGTACTTTCAAAGTAAAGTATGTTCCACGGACAAATGTGAGAAGCAGGTTTGGTTTGAGAAAGCTCCAGGGGCCTTAAGAAAAGTGCTGGGAAGCCATTTCTCTCTGACAAATTGGTTACAGGTGGTGATTGCCAGAGTAGGGAACTGAGTGTCAATGGGGCATTCACTGTCATTTTCAACCTACAGCTTTAAAGCTTCTGTCATCTCAAGACATTTGTAAATATTTTATTTTATAATTTTTATTTTATGTGTATGCGTATATCGCCTACATATAGTATTTCGTAGGAAGTGAGTTGCTGTGGAAAGCATTTCTCCCACCCTGGGTTTCATTTGTTTTTCTTCTAAGTCATCCCTCACTGTGAAGACATACCTCTAAGATGTCCTTCTCTTAATCAGTTCTGATCTTGGAACCACCAACTGAACAGAAATCTCTCCCTTTGATGTTACTTTAGGTCCCTAAACCTTTTTCTGGCCCCATGAGACTGCACTCCTCCAATCCTAATTTGTCAACACTAGATTTTGGAGAAGAGAAAAATTATTCAGATGGCTCCGAAACCTCTTCAGAGTTCTCCAAGATGCAGGAGGATCTATGTCACATTGCCCATAAAGGTATGTGGGTTTTCTTCCTTCCTAACACTTTGGATGGAAGTTTCTAATGCCTTCCTGAATGTTGCTTGTCCATGGAGGTCTCTTAGCTTGTTCATTTTTTGCTCTAGTAAGACTTTGGGAATCCTATGCTTTTTTTCTTTAGTAAAGTAAATATTGTTAGAAAAATGTCTTTTCAATCTCTTAGAGGAGACAGTGAGGTTTTGTATCTGGTTGGCAGAATCTAGGGATTCAAGAAATTGCAGATTGAAGATGTATTTTTTTTTAAAAGTTGTGTCTGTATTGAACATGGACAGACTTTTTTTTGCCTTTATTCCTTAAGTAATACAATATATCAATTATTTGCCCAGCCTTACACTGTATTAGATATCATAAGTATCTAAAGATGATCTAACATGTATTGGAGGATGTGATCCTGAAGGACACCATACTTTAAAGGCTGAGCATTAATACACTGCCCGTGGAACATAAATTGGTATTTTCATGGAGAGCAAAATGACATCTGTTCAAACTGTTTTTAACGCCTATTGAATAGTTCATTTTTGAAGAATTTATCTGTAAGAATTAACTTAAAACTTATCCATATTTATTCACCATATAAAAAAGTAGAAATAGGCATTCAACATTATTAGCTGTTATGGAAATGCAAATGGAAACTTCAATGAGGCATCTCTGCAGATCACTTAGAACAGCAATGCTTTAATGCAATGATGAAAACTCAGAAACTGAATCCCTCTTACATGGCTGGTAAGCATGGAAATGGAAAGTAGTTAGCAGTGTTATATAAAGCTAATAAACACATTTATCATAAAGCCCAACACTCATGTCCTTGAGCATTTATCACAGAGAAGTGAAAAATTATATCCAGGAAAAAATAACTGTGCATACATGTTCAGGGCAGTCTGAGGTTGTGGTTCAGGGGTAGAGCACAGGGTCCTAGACGCAATCCCTAGTACCAGAAAAACAGAATGTTAAGAGCAGGTTTATTTTTAATCAGCCAAAAATAGGAGCAGTTCAGTGTTCTTTAACAGATGGATGGTTAAATACACAGGTATGTCCATACATTGAAATACTACTTAGCAATAAAAAGGAACAAACTATCAATATATGCAGCAGTGTGGATGGAGCTGAAGGACATTAATACTGAGTGAAAATAGCTCATTTGTAAAGTTTACAGAATATACAGTTTCACTTATATGAATCTTTGGAAATGATATAGAAAGAAGAAATTAGTAGTTGCCAAAAGTTGTGGAGAAGGAGGAAAGAAAGGTGAGACGTATGGGTATAATTGTAGAATGATCTAATTATAGAAGGTGTTGGAGAGTCCCGTGTCCCGGCTGAGACACTGGCTACATGTTGCACTGACATGAGCTCACACACATTTATACAAGGGTTAGTCTCATGAGATCCTAACAGGCTCCATTATACCGACATCCATGTCCTGCGTTTTTCATTGTGCTATGATTCTGTAAGATGCTACCATTGGAAGAAACTGGGCATAGGGCACGTAGGAATTTTTATGCACTCTTTTGAAAATTCCTGTGAGTCTATAACAATTTCAGAGTAAAAATTAGAACTAACCCTGACTAGATTATGTATGGTTCAGTAGCAGAGTGATTGCCTAGAAATAAACTAAATGCCCAATGAGAGGGGACTGGATACTTTAATGATCCTTTTTCTTAAAAAATGAATATAATTCTGGCATATGTAAATACACTAAAAGCTTAGGATATATCTCAATATTTTAGTGATAGAAGCTGAAGTTGTAAGTGCTTATTATCACTTTCCTGTTTGCCTTTCTTTTCAACTTCCATATATTGATTATTTTTGTTCGAGTGAAAATAGGTTAAAAAGTTCCAGGTGGAAGGAGGGAATAGATTCTTGAGCCTTCCTCTCCCTGCCTTGCTTAATTTATTATTATTATTAATTATTATTATTATTATTATTATTATTATTATCTGGTCACATTATCGATTCCTTCAGTGCTCTCTCTTTCTCCTTATCTGACAAATCTAAAAACCATTCACTCTATGATTGCTTATAAGGAAAGTCTCATGCATGTTAGAGATTCTGCCCTCAGATTCCTGTGCTGGCCACCATGAGAATTCTGTGTCCAGGAGTTCTGCTCTGCAATGTCTGTGGAGCCTGAGGCGTCACCTGTCACAGCTCTCAAGTGCCTCTCAGGCATTCTTTAGTGTTAAAAGAACCTCTTGCAGTGACTACTTTTTAGGTTTCTGGGGGAGGAATTTCCTTTAAAACAGCGTTACTTTTTAATAGCATGAATCAGGGAGACATCTGGGTTTTACCTACACTGTAGAAGCTGCTTATCAGCAGGGCAGAGGTTGCCATCCATCCTGAGTGCATCCATTGATCCTGTCCCCTGCAGAGGCCTCCCCCTCCCTGCAGGTCTGTAATGGGCCTCCTGCCAGCTGTCCTGTTGGGTCTTTGTGAAATTAGCTGTCTGTGGAGCTGCCACTGACTTGGCTGAGGTCAAGTTCCTTGTGCTCCCAGAACAGTCCAGGTGCACTAGTCAGCAGCAGTCAGAGGCTCCTGGGCTTCTGAACAGTGAATTCCACAGGGAGCCTAGCCCACTGTGCTCCTTTTTGTGGATTTCAATTCTATTTGCAGAGTGGAGAGATCTCCCTCTCCCCTCTTCTACAGGCACTTCTTCAGGGCCTTCATGGAATAAAGACAATGCTCAGGTTTGCCATAAGTCCAGGCCCTTGTGTGCTCTCACACGTTGGCCCTCATGGCCTTTCTCCCTGTGTGAGCCTTCTTTTGTCAACAACGCTTCCTGTTGACCTTCTGTGACTGCATCCCTGTTCTGTTGACTGTCATTTTTGAAGCAACTGAACTAAAGGCAAGAATTCCATTGATGTGATCTAGTCTGTGTGGCATTAAACTTGTAGAAAGCATCTGCATTATGCTTTTGTGGATCACATGGCAGACAGTCAGTGTAGACCCATTCGCATTCAAAGAGTTCTTGTATCTGAGAAGCTGTATGTTCATTTTTTATGGAATGTCACTGAACTAAGTTGCATGGTTCATATTCTGGCTTCCTGTGTCAATGCCCATATAAGCAAATGGAGTGAAACATACTGAACCTCAAAGTCACCATTTTTTGTTGTATACATTAGCATCTGCATTTCTCAAAATGTATTTTATAGAAAACTTATAGGACACTTAAAAGTCAAAATAAGAATTTCGTGATTGAAAATGTCTGGGGAATATCCCTGACTATGACTCCTTTGGTTTTATACATGGAGCTGAAGGTAGCAAGGTCCCCAAGATCCCCTGTAGCAAAGAAACCTATCAGCTTAGTTTAGTTTTGATTTTTCAATGTCATTTAGGAAATTCCTTACTGCACCCTCCTCCCCACCCCACTGGCCCTCACCCTCCCACCCACCCCCCTCCTGTTATTAACACCCTGGGACTAAAATCCCCAAGAAACACACTTTGGGAAGCACTGTAAACAATAAGCCTCTTTGGAGCGGACTCTCTAAACTGGCCAAGTGGCCATTAATACTGACCGGCTGGGACCTTGAACTCACTGGCTTGTCTTTCTGACCCTCAGTTACCTCATCTGTCACATGTCCTAAAGTAGCTGACCTCTTGAACTCTCAAATTCTATCATTTTCTTCTCTGCGCAATTGTTTTGAATTTAACAGGGAGAATTCATTTCATTACTCATTGAAAATGTGCCCATCTTTTAAAATCTGTTTTAATTTTTGAAAATTTTTTTGATTTACTTTTATTTTATGTGTATGAGTAATTTGCTTGCACATATGTAAGTGCACTATGTACTTACACTGCCCACAGAGGCCAGAAGAGGGCATTGGATCCTCTGGAACTGGTGTTAAGGATGGTTGTTAGCTACCATGTGGGCGCTGAGAACTGAACTGAGCCAGTACTCTTAACCATTGAGCCATCCCTCCAGCCCCAAAATTTGTTTTAATTTTTAAACTGTTTATACAGTGTCTTACTATGTAGTACAGGCTGGCTTCTAACTTACAATCCTCCTGCCTCAGCCTCACAAGTACTGGAATTACAGACATACATCACCATGCTTGGCTTTTGAGAACGTGTTCTGTTAGCAGCAGAATGAGAAATGGCTTAAACCCTCTGAACAGATTTATTGTGAGAAAGCAAAGAACAGGATATGAAAGTGGACATTCCCTTACTGTCATGGGGAAAAACAAACTTGTAGGAATGCATTTCCTATAGATGAGGGAAGTCCTCATTTACAAATGTAAAAACTAAAATGAGAACAAAAACTCCATATTATTTTGTGCCTGGGGAGTTCTCTGGAGTTGAGTTGAGATAGGGTAGTCTCTTTCTGAACTGCTTTGAGCTATGGATGCATTGAAGGAAAAGCCACCCCTATCATGATGATACTGCCTTCATAGTAAAAGTTAAAAGATTGGCATGGTCCAAGGAAAAGCCAGATAATATATTGTTCACAAATTAGAAACAAATAGTGCCCATCCATTTAAAAAGAAACTTAAATGGGGATGGGGGGAGCAGGAGTGATGGCTCAGCAGTTAAAGGCACTGGCTGCTCTTGCAGAGGACCTGGTTTTGTTTCCCAGCACCTACACGACAGCTAACAACCATCCATAACTCTAGTTCCAGAGGATCTGATGTTCTCTTTTGCCCTCCATGGGCATTGCATGCACCGGTACACTTACATACATGCAGGCAAAACACTCATACACAAAATTAAAAGTTTTAAAAATTACATAAGAATTTTCTTGTCTGGTCAAAAGCCTCTCCTGGCAGCAAGGCATCTGAAAGGCAGAGCAATCAATGTGGAAGAGTGAGTGGCTGCCAGCCGAGTGCCAGTTCATTTTATTTGGAGGAATGAATGGCAGTGGAACAGTCCTGCCCCCAGGGACCCACTGGGATGGCCATGGGCATTCTGGGGCCCAAGGGGAGATATCTAAGGGGCATAAAATGCAATGAGTTCCCTGTGTAGCCTGTTGTCCTCATCCTGTGGCTCAGTGAGCTCTGGCTAGTCCCTCATTCATACACTTTCTACCCTTTGTGCATTTAGTTATAATCATCATCCTGGCAAGAGCTAAACATCACACTACTGGTGCTGCCTGTATTTCAAGAAAGTGCCAATGCCTTCCCTTTGATCCTTATGCATGCATCTCTTTCATCATCATAACTATTATCATTGCTGTGCCAGCTATTTTGCCCTGCATGTGTGCATTGGATTAAGGGCTTTACCTGCTCTGTCTGTTTAATCTTTATAACAGGCTATAAAGTAAATGCTAGTAATATCTCCACTTAGAATTCAGGCACATCCTATATTTGCCCAAGATCAAGGAAGGAATAAATGGTGGGCTCTCTTCTGGTCACAGAAGCAGCACCATAGTGTGTGTGTGTGTGTGTGTGTGTGTGTGTGTGTGTGTGTGTACAAATTGCTTGTGTTAGGATTCTATGAGGAGTCTCTGAATCCATCACTAAGTGCCCTAACTTCGGACAATTAGCAACAGTACATAGAGAAGTCACTTGTCCTTCTTGCTATTAAAAAGGAAGCAAGATAGTAATGCGTATTTAGTTTCTGTGTTAAAGAGGCCATTCTTGGATAACAGTAAAAATGCAAACCTGTAAAATTTAATCATATGCCAGATCATTTGAGAAGACTGTGTTTGTCTCTTCCTTCTTCTGCTGTTCTATAACAAACCATAATGAAAGAGGTTGGAAAGATAATATTCAAATGTGCTACCCATAATCAGTACTTTAGGTAACCTTCCCTCATCCCTAGGAGGTAACTTGTACCCTAAGTGACAAGAATATGATGAACTTTTGCCATACCTGTTCGTGTTTTCTTTTTCTTTCTTCTTCTTTTTTTGTCTTTTTTGGGACAGGGTCTCCCTGTAGCCCCAGCTCTCCCAGAACTCACTATGTAGGCCAGGCTGGCCTCAGACTCACAAAGATCTGCCTGCCTCTGCCTCCCAAGTGCTGGGATTAAAGGTGTGTGCCACCATGCCCAGCCCTCATGTTTTCATTTTTTTAATTAATTAATTTTTTTATGTATATGAGTATATTGCCTGCATGTATGTAAGGGTACCCATGTCATGCAATGTTCGTGGAGGTCAGAAGAAGGCATTAGAGTTGGAATTGCAGACAGTTGTTAGCTGCCATGTGGGTGCTGGGAATTGAACCTGGGTCCTCTGCAAGAGTAACCAGTGCTCTTAACCACTGAACCATCTCTCCAGCCCCCATTGTTCATGTTTTCTTAATCTGTGTGAATGTGTGTGTGACTGTGGGTGTGTACATGCTATACTGTGTGTGAGAGAGAGAGGGAGGGAGAAAGGACACCCTGGGGTGCCGGTCCTCACCTTCTACCTTGTTTGAGACAGGGTCTCTTTGCTGTCTGCTGCTGCATATGCCAGTCTAACTGGCCCGCCAGCCTCCAAGGATTCTCCTGTTTCCAGCTCCATCTCACCATTGAGCACTGGGAATGCAGAGGTGCAATACCACATGAGGCTTTACGTGGGTTCTGGGGATTTGAGCTGAGGTCACCACTCTTGCAAGGCAGTGCTTTACACTGAGCCATCTTCCCAGCCCCCATATATGCCCCATTTGGGGCATTTAACTACTTACTGGTTTAGCTCTCATTAAACTTGACGATTCCTGAAAGTGAGCAGAATGGTTGAATGCCAAAATTCAGAGGTAGGGATTCCACTGTAGCTGAAAGAAGAAGCTAGAAAAAATGGGGGCAACACTTTGTTTTGAAATAATTTCAAACCTACAGGAAAGCTGCAAGACTAGTACAAAGAACTAGCCCAGACCCTTTACCCAGAGTCGCCACTTTAACATTTCACCAGTTTGTTATCATCTTTTTCTACATTTTGAGACTAGAATTCCTGCATTGTATCATTCTTTACAGCTGAAAACGGGCAGATTCTGTTCAGTGACCTCAGTGTAGCTCTCCCGCTCAGGACATGCAATGTGAAGACAGTACTTTAGCCCCCCTTCCATATTTAAATGCTGCCAACATCTGAAAAATGCCTCGTAATGCCATCTTCCCACTGGGTACAGGATCTGGTTCATGATCACACATTATGATTCACTGTCTTGTTTCTTGAGCCTGGTTTAACTGGAGACAACCTTTTATAAATTGATGCCTTGATATCGTTGAAGAGTACAGGCCAATTTCTAAAAATTGGATGTTCAGTTTCCTATGGTTTCTCATGATCAAATCCAGATTGCTTATCCCTGGCTAGCATTCAACAAAGAAGATACCATGTCTTTTTCAAGACACTTTGCCTGGGGACACCCAGGGTCCACCTGACTCTCACTTGTGATTAATACTGACCAACTGGATAAGGTGAGCTCCCTTTTCTGCTGTAATGTTAGCAGATTTCTACTGATAACCAGTAAGCCTTGTTCCTAACTGGTTTCAGTCTTCAAGAATATAAAACTGAATACTAACGATTTTAAATCCATAAGTCCTAGAATCGTGGAATGCTATAATGAGTAGAGACTTTAGGGTTGGCAAGTGTATGTAAATTTTAATAGATTCTACTTTTCAAGCAGTTTAAGGTACACAGCAAAATTGAGCTATCTGGAGATTCCCCATACATCCCTTGCCACTGTGAAGGTGTAGCCTATCCCACCATCAGCATCCCTCAGAGGAGTGAAGAGCCTGTGTTGCTGGACATTGTCACTGGAGCCTGTAGTTTCTCTCAAGCTCACTCTTACACATTCACTGTGTTTTTCAAAATTAATGTAGAGTATGCATTTGCTGAGCTCAAAATACTTAGGATTGTGACTTGGCTAAATTCTCGTATAAGAAATACACTGCTCTGCATTTTGTTCTTTAATGGTGCCTCTTCTTTATTCCTGCTTGTAATGATTATATCTTTATAGTTTACTTCGCTTTAAGGTCAGCTTTTAATAGCATATCGACAGAACGAGAGAAGCTGAAGCAGCTGATGGAGCAGGATGCCTCCACCTCCCCTTCTGCTCAGGTCATCGGGCTGAAGCACGCTCTGTCATCTGTAAGTTGTACGCCTGTGTCACATGAATATCTGAAAATGTGGCCAGGCTCATGAATTGTTTATGTTTCCTATTTCCATGATTGCATTGAAAATTGATGATTTTCATGGTTGAGTTGAATCTTCAGGAAAAAAAAAAACAACAAATTATCCAAGTTATATTCAGACCTTTCATCAGACCTGCTTATTCTTAGCCTACCCTAAATCTTAGTAAACTAATTCTGTGAATATGGTTTCTTCCAATTTACCTGAATTTCTCTGTTTCTAAAGAATTTGGTTGTATGTTTGAGTGTGGGTTTTCCAGACATCTACTGGTTAATGCTTACAGACTCTGACATTTTGGAGATATTGTGGATCTGAGACACCACAAGCTTAGATCAATTTAACAAATAACACGTGGCAGAGAGAAATTTCCAACGTACACATTATCTTCTCTCCCATAAAGTACTGATCCTACTTAACGTTCTTTTGTTGTTTGATTAAATGGTACAGAACATTTAGCTTTTTCCTCCCATGAACACAAAGCGATGAGTAATATGAAGTGTCTGTCAGTGTATCTTCAAAACACAAAACCCAGTGTGACAGCCTGTGTTTCCAGCAAGCCACGCTGGCCCTCAGAATCCCTCCTCAGCTTCAATTTCTTGCTCAGAATGGCTGGGCTCCACTGCAGTGCTGTCCTGAGGAGACGAAGGCAGCTGATCCATTAGCCTTGATCTAGCAAGAAGCCAGAGAACTTCTGAAACAGTGTGTTTATTCGCTCTTTCTCTGTTTCTGCTTTATAATTCCAGCTTTAAGAAGAGAAGAGTACGCATGTGTCAGATCCCATCCCAAGTGCAACTGTCTTTTGTATTCTGGGTCAGGCAGGGAGAGGAATTTCAGGGCCATGTTTCCAAAAGCCAAGGCACTTGGAGAAAATGGTCACTCGTCTTTTAGGTTTTACATTTTTTATTATATTTTCTATGTATTGTGTTTTGCACTCACATGTATGTAAGTCCACCTGTGTCATGTAGTGCCTGTGGATGCCAGAGAGGGTGTCTGATACCTTGGAACTGGAGCTATGGATAGTTGTTAGCTGCCATGTGGGTGCTGGGAACTGAACCTGGGTCCTCTGGGACAGTGTCCAGGAAGAACAATGGTACTGATGTAATGTTAATATAATTAATGTTATGTTATGAGGTAATGTTAAGGATAAATCCCTGACCAGTAGCCCACATCACTTGTTGCAGAATATTTAAGATGCATTCATTCAGTGGCGAATCATACAGCCCAGACCGGCTTCATGTAGCCAACTGGTGCTGCCTCCACCTCCCCTGTCCTGAGATTATAGTCATGTCCCACCATGCCCAGCTCAACTGTGCAACCTTTGAAAGAAAAATTTAAAAATAATATTGTCTCACTCCACATGTAGAGTCTTAATATTTTTTAAGTTGGAGAGAAAAATCACATCTTTAGGACCTTGGTGAATGGCTGGCTGAAAGCTGGGTTGCTGCTCTGATTGGAGAGAAGCAAAGTGGTGCTTCCATGGTTTTTGCTTTTTGTTGTTTTAATTTTATTTATTTATTTTTTTTTATTTTATGTGTATATGTGTATTGCCTGCATGTAGGTAAGTGCACCCATGTCATGCAATGCCCGCAGAGGTCTGAAGAGGCTGTCAGATCCCCTGGGACTGGAGTTATGGACAGTTGTTAGCTGCCATGTGGGTGCTGGGATTTGAACCCAGGTCTTCTGAAAGAGCAACCAGTGTTCTTAACCGCTGAGCCATCTCTCCAGCCCCTATTTTAGTGGTACGAAGCATTCTTATCATTCCCATTAGTGACCTTTTTTTTTTTTTCTGTCTTTTTGAGACAGGTCTCCCTGTAGCCCCAGAAGTCCTGGAACACATATGTAGACTAGGCTGGCCTTGAACTCACAGAGATCTGTCTGCCCCTACCTCCCAAGTGCTGGGATTAAAGGCTTACACCACCACGCCTGGCTAGAGTGATTTCTGATGCATTAGAAGGTGCCTCTGATGGGATTCCTAAAGTTCCTTCTTGTGGTCTTCCTCTCCCTCCTCCTCTACAGAAGTCCAGCCTTGTCTTGTTAATGTGCTCAGTCACAGCTTTCTGGCCCTGGTGTCTGGCTACATTGGCTTCATTCACTGAGGAATTACCTCTCGCCCAGGTTCTCAGTTAGGGAAACAAGATAAAACAAAAGGATCCTTTCTTTCTTCTTTTAGCCTAGATTTCTGATTTGGCTTGGAATTGTTTCTTTAAAAATATTTTGTATTAGGGGCTGGAGAGATGCTCAGAAGTTAAAAGCACTGGTTGCTCTTGCAGAGGACCAGGTTCAAATTCCAGTAGCCATATGGCAGCTAACAACTGTTAGTAACTCCGGTTCCAGGGGATCCGATGCCTTCTGCTGTCCTCTGTGGGCACTGCATGACATGGGTGTACTTATATACATGCAGACATAACATTCATACACATGAAAAGAAATAAATTTTAAAAATTAAAAAATTATTATTTTCTGTGTGTATGAGTGTTTTGCCTGCATGCATGTAAGTGACCACTTGGATAAACTGCCCACAGAAACAAGAAGAGGGTGTCAGATTCCCTGAAACTAGAATTATGGACTGTTGTTAGCCACTGTGTGGGTGCTGGGAATCATGGTCCTCTGTAAGAAGAGCTAGTGTTCTAATCACTGAACCATCTCTCCAGTTCCTAAAAATAATTTTTCAGAATCATCACGGAATTATTACAGCGGATATGCTGGTCCTACACATGGAATGTTGGCATGTTTCTTCCTTATTCTGAGTGTGGCTTACAAAAGAAAGAAACTACTAAAACAACACACTTTCTAGGTGTTGCTAAGATACTAGTGATATATTGACCAGGAAGTCAGTGCCTCAAAGGGATTGTTACATGTGGTTGTGTGACCCTAGTTCTTGTTCAGTGTTTCCTCAATGATCTTCAAGAATTCTTAAATAACATATGTCCTCTGTGGCCACTGAAAAGTAAAGCCAGAGCTGGGGGTGGTGACCACTCTTATCATCCTAGTACTTGAGAGGCTGAGGCAGGTGGACCGTTTAGAGTTCAGCCTGGTCTGCAGAGTGAGACCCTGCCCCACACAATCACATTGACAATAATAAAGTAAAATCATAAGGAACTACATGAAGCCCAAGTCCTTGTAGAGAGACAGGCAGTAGACAAGGCAGTGCCATGTCCCCAGGGCTCTCAGCAGCCAGGTCTTGGATGGAAAAGGTTCAGAACTTCTTCAGAGAGTCAAGAAGCTAGATGCAGTGGGTCTGTGTGATAGAAACCCTGGAATTAATTATAGTCATGTTTGGGGCACAGTCAGGAGAGTTTGACCCCTCCTAAAGACATCCTCATAGTCATAAAATGCACAGGAGTGGCAGGAGAAAACATCTTCTTTTTTCCTGTGAGCCAAATCCTAGTGGGGAGGTTGAAATAAAGATGAGATCTTCCCATGAAGAAGTAAAGAGATCTCACTGATCTCTTAAATCCCAGGGTTTATATCCACCGTTCCCCAGGGCCACAGTGCTTAAGCCCTTGTGTAGGTAAGTAAGGCTGGCTTGTTTATTTTTGGAAAAATAAATTAAATTGTCTTAGCCTTGAAAAATGAACCAAGTAAACAGCACCCATATTTGAAACGAATAAAATTAACCTTCCACAGATACCCTAGCCCAGCACACTTCCTAAGATCTGGTTCAGCTGGTGGGATGCTTAAATTGCATTGAAATATGTCCACTGGCATCTTTGCAAGGGTTGGAGGACCTAGTACTTAATGAGTGGGTAGGGGTGGGGTCTGACCACAGAGACTAAGAACAGCTAGGCTGGGGAAAGAGATATTGTGCAGCCACAAGTCTTAAAAGCTGATGTCCTCTGTGACTTCCTTCTGTCACCCTTACTAACGCCCTTTCTACCTCTGGAGATGAGATTAGAAAGAAGTATCATTGGAGACCCTCTGTTGCCTCCCAGCCTTCTGCTGGAGAGCAAGCTGGAAAGCCCAAACCAGCCCCCAGGGGTGCTCCAACCATGATCATCCTTTCCCAGAGACCTCTTCTGCGCTGCCCCTGCTGTGCTTCCCTGAAACATCCATTTACTAATGAAGCCCTGCTATTTTTAACATGTTCCAGGCCCTAGCACAAAACACAGATCTTAAAGAACGCTTACGCAGAATCCATGCGGAATCTCTGCTCCTCGACCCGCCTGCTGTTCCCAAGTCGGGGGACAATCTGGCAGAGGTGGGTAGGTTTCTTGTCTGGTAACTGTTCTCTGCAACCACTACCCGCCCCGGCTGCCTTCTGTCCAGCTGCACGGTTCCCTGCTTCACTGGTGGTCTTGAGTCGAGGTCACTGTTCCTGGCCTCCCCTGGTTTCCCCTGGCTGCTGCCACAGCCAGGCACTGGCCTGGCACTTGGCACTCAAAAGTCTTGCTGGCAGAATACTGCTTGGCACGTTCTTAAACTGCCTTTTCCTAAGTCCTTTTGTGTTTCTACACTTTCATTTCTCTCTTAAATGTCACTCCCTTCGCTGTGTTACCAGAATGGGAGCTGTAGAAGGACAAGCGTTTTTTTCTGTTATTTCTGGAGACCTAAATTTCTGTGACAGAAAGTAATTCAGTTTCTCACTGGCTTCTTTTGCTTGCTCTGTGAAACTCATGCTTTGCTTTCCTGTGACTGTCCCCTTCTTCCTTTTTTTTTCTTTTTCAGAACACAGCTGTGCACTCTGGGGGGAAAAATTGAATTAAAATTGAAATCTTAGTCAGTAAACAGTATATTAGAACAATCTCTTCTGGGCTGAAATTTTAACTTAGTAGCCTCGTGGTAGAATACTTGCCTGGCTTGTGTGAAATCCCACGTTCATTACACACACACTCACACACACACACACACACATACACACACACAATCACACAAAGAGGTCTTTTCTCAAGGCTGGTCTTTTGAATGTGTTTAAAATGAGAAATTTCAGAAAAATACAAGTATGTTCTTAAGAAAGGAGAATGAAGGTGAAGACTGTTTCTGTCTCTTATATTTAAATGCCTGCTTCAGATGTGCTAAATTTTCCACTAACAAACTTGTTAGGTGGAGTAGATTGAAAATGAAAAACAGGAAAGGTGGGCTGGGGAAATAAGGACCCAGAACCCACATTTAAAAATGCCTGCTGGGGGTGGCACATCCTTGTAATCCTAGCACTGGAGAGGTGGAGAAAGGTGGATTCCTGGGGCTCTCTGGCCATCCAACCTAGCCTACTTGGTGAGTCCCAAGCCAGCGAGACACCCTGTCATTCCCCTGCAAAAATGTAGGCAACATTTGAGACGCAACACCTATGGTTGTCCTCAGACCTCCACTCAGAGTCCAGACACAGGCACCCACACACACAGACACACAGAGAAGATAGCAGACAAAGGGTGTGTGTGTGTATGTGTGTACGTTTTTAAAATGCTTCATCTTAATCCTCTTCCTGTTCTCAGAATCCTCACACAATCCTTTAAGTGCTTAGGCAGATTTTGGCTAAGGATGAAGAAAGCTGAGGTGGCGACATCAGGTCACCTGCCTCATTTGCAGCACTGACTGTTCCACATGGTGACAGGACTGCAGCTGACCAAAGTGGCTCCCTCTCTGCAGAGGCTTATGGGCCGCTAGTCATTCTGAGGTTCCTGGTGGTCACTGGGAATGAAATCCCTCAGCAGACACGCTGCTTACTACCCCTAAGAGGCCAGCCCTATGGCCTCACCTTCAGGGCTTAGCACCTAAATCCTCCTGTCTGTATCCTGCTTTTAGGCCTGCCCACCAGCCAGGCTTCCTTGAGTCTGCCCATTAGCTAAAGCAGGGCCCACTGTGGGCCATGTCCAGCCATTGCTCAGAGTCATTTGCTGCCTGGGACCATGGTAATTCTACAGTTTCACATTTATTTCCAGACAGTTCTTACCTTTTATAATAATATGTATTATCATGTGAATTACATTCATACATTTCATGATTGGTTAAATAGATACCCTCCATTGATCTTTGTGAGTCTGTGTTCTGCATGCAACATTAAGGCTATTTGTGTTTTGAGATGAAACCCAAATCCCATATGCAGAAAAATGCACACTTTCGGATGAATCTCAAGAGAATGAGCTGAAGCTGAAATGTTGTAAGCTGCCCTGGGGGCACCAGCTGCACCGTCAAACTTGTCCTTCCTCAGCAGCCCTTGAGAGTCCAGTCAGGGATACAGTTGTACAGTTTATTCCCCTGAGAGCGTTTCCCATGGTCAATCCTGTATTTTTTTGTTCTTTTCCCCCTACTGAATGACTCAGGCTAACTTTCCTAGTAAGGAAAAGCCATTGTTGCTTTCAGGGAGTAGGAACAGAAATAAGTGGGAATGACTGCATAGAATGAACATTCCAGGTCACTTTCTAAATATACATAGATAATAAACTCCAGATTTTTAGGTTTTATTTTAAAAAGTTTAAAATCATATGTTTCAATGTGCTTATGTGTGTGTGTGTGTGTGTGTGTGTGTGTGTGTGTGTGTGTATCACAGCACATGTGGAGGTCAGAGGACAGCTTGCACGAGTTGGCTCTCTCCTTCCACCTTGTGGGTTCTGGGCTTCAAACTCAGGGTGTCAGACTTGGCAGCAAGAGTATTTACCCGCTGAACCATCTGACCAGACACCCCAAACACTTTGTGTTAATGATCCCCAGACACCCCAAACACTTTGCAGCAGAATGACAGTCCCTAACAATAGGGTCATCCCAGGGGCTCTGCTTTTTAGGCCTTCTATTGTTGGTCTACTTTCTGTTGCCTTCTCACAGCTGCACAAATCAACCATTGCTGGTGTTGGACCTTGATACTGAACCCTGAAATCTCTCTTTAATTAGAAATTGCTCCCATGACCTATAAAGTGCCTCCTGCTTTATATTCATGAATGTGGAATTTTAATATCACCAGAATGTCAGTTCTTAGAGTAGCTTCTATTATTTTAGATTCAAAATTCAAAGACCAAATGACTTGTGGAAGTAATATCTTCTATATCTAAAGTTCATTTAATAATCAGTATATGAGGGCTGGAAAGGTGGTTTACTGGTTAAGAGCACTGGCTGATCTTGTAGAGGACCTGGGTTCAGTTCCCAGTAACCACATGATGACTAACAACCATCTGTAACTCCAGTTCCAGGGGATCCAGTGCCCTCTTCTGGCCTCCACAAGCATTGCATGATACAAGTGCACTTATATACATGCAGGTCAAACATCATACACATAAAATAAAAATAAATAAATAAAATGTTTTTAAAAAACAGAGAATGGTGGTGTGCACATGAAATCCTAATACTGGGAAGATAAGGACAGGAGGACAAGTTTGGAGTCAGTGTGGGTTACATAGTGACATCCAGGCTAGCCTGAGCTACATAGTGAGACCTTGTTCCAAACAAACAAAAAAATTCCATTTAAGACACAAAGAAGGCTAATTTTTTTTAAGTGTTAAAGAAAAAGGGAACCCAAATCCTTTATTTATCCATTCTCTTAGTTATCACATGGATATAAAAAATTTTTTTTTTTTTTTTTTTTTTTTTTTTTTTTGCTTTGTTTTGCAGTGCTGAGGACCAGGGCATTATACGCACTAGGCAAGCACTCTATTCCTGAGCTACAGTCACCCTAGAACTTTTTCTTGCCTTGTGCTTACTGTGCTTCATGTGCATTTGAAAGCATTATTGCACAAAATCTTAACCTTGATCTATAAAGTAGGGAATGGTAGTTTCATTTTAGAACAAGCAAAGCCCAGAGTGGTTAAGTAACTTCCTCCAGAAACACAGCTTCTAAGAGACAAAGCTGGAATTTAAATTCATATCTAATGAAACCAAAGTGTGTGTTTTCACCTCAGCACACTCATCGAAGCACTGAGGTTAAAATGGGTGGCAACACTGGGGCAGAATGACTGCCTCAGGCCAAAACACTATAAATAAATACATGGATGAGGAAGGCATCAAAACCAATGGAAAAGACATTTTCAATAAATGAGGTCAGTGCAGCGCAAAGCAACTTGAAAAGAAGCTTAAAACTTTCTTATGCTGCATACTAAAACGAACTCTAGTTAAATATAAAAAATGAGGCAAAAATATTAATTTGAATATTTATCAAACTTCTAGAATAAGGATTTTTTAGTAAGCAGTAATAAAAATTGCAAAAGAAATCTTACCTAGATTTGAATATATTTTATAAGGGAAAAATGTCTCAAAAATGAGAGGGTACAGTAAAAAAGAAAAAAAAAACCAAAAAAGTATTTTCAGTGAAAATGACAGGCTGAGTTAATGCAATGATGTTTTTAATCTACGAAGGAAGAACAAATGTCAAATAGCTTAAGACCTCAATGAGTAAATGGAGAAAGATAGTTCACACACATACCAGATGCAGGGGGTTTTGGTGGTGTGGCATTTTCACTTATTTATTTTTAAAGTCAGCCATGAGTCTTAACTACTAGGATAAATCATGATCGGTCTACTTTCTATTGCCTTCTCACAGCTGCACAAATCAACCATTGCTGGTGTTGGATCCGGAAATCTAAAATAAGCCATGAGTCTGAACTACTAGGATAAACTCGGGGACGTCATGGGGATCTCATTGCTGAGTCAGTGTATAGTGTGTGAACACAAACCTAGATGACAGAGCTGACAACACACCTTGGCTATATGCTAGAACCCACTTTTAAAATGTTTTGTGATTTGTCTGTTTACTTTTATGTTTTCTTGTTATGAACATCAGTGCACACAAATCTAGACTCACACAGTCCAGGTCTTCTGCCTCCTCCTTTTGTCCCACCGGTTGGTTGGGCTTCAGATCAGGAGAACTTCATCTCTTATGACTACAAGGTCTTCCTCTGGATTCCTCCTGAAGCACCTGCCTGAGACTGGGTTAAAAAAAAAAAAAAAAAAAAAAAGACGTATAGGGCTGGAGAGATGGCTCAGCGGTTAAGAATACACTGTTCTTGGAGAAGACCTGGGTTCAAATCCCAATACCCACATGGCAGCTAACAACTGTCCATAACTCCAATTCCAGGGGATCCAACAGCCTCTTCTGTCCTCCATGGGCATTGCACAACATGGGTGTACTTACCCAGGCAATGCACGCATACACATAAAAATAATAAATAAAATATTAAAAAATAGAAGTATAATCTAAAGTAATAGCTAAAAGTTATGACCTGGTATCAGCTGTGTATTACCACTGCACTGTGTCCTGGGCGGAACTGTATTTGCTATACTGTTTAACAGCTAGATCTCAGTGGGCTTCTTCACACCAGTATCTCCACAGATGCAAGTCATGCTACCTATGATGTTGTGACAGCTGTGACATCACTAGAGGACAAGAATTTCCCACCTCTGTTATAATCTTACTGTGCCCTTGGACAGAAATGTCATTGTTTGGCACATGACTGCACTTGTAAATTTGTAAAAAGACACAAAGAAATGCAGAGGTCCATCCTGTGCACCACTTAGCCTGGCCTCTCCCACATTAACATTGTACAGTGTGCTTTTTCATTAAAAAAATAAAATCAGCCTAATAAAAAGGAAAACCATTAGCTTAGCACAAATTCTTTTCTAAAGTATGGTATTCACTGCCCTCATATAAGGATGTAGAGAAAACAGAGTTTTCTTAAATGTTAAAGTTACTAATACAATCTTAAACATTTTAGGAATTCTACTTCTGGAAATTGATTCTAAAATAATAATGAGATACAAACAAAGATACATCATGATGCTCACTAGTTTGCAGTCTGCAAATGCCCTTAACTTCAGTATAGAGAACTGAATTGTCACTCTGTGACACATAAGTGTAATAAAATAGCTACCAATTGAAGTTCATTCTCGCAGACATTTTAAAGCACTCACAATGTAATGGCAGGTGAATTGCAGGCAGCGTACAGATTATATCACATTTGATCCCAGCTTTCCAAATTTTATAATTCATGTTTATTTATTTGGTGGATGGTTTGTTTGAGACGGTCTCACAAGGTAGCCCTGGTTGGCCTGGAACTCACTATGTAGAAGTTCATGGGCAGTCCCTCTGCCTCTGCCTCTGCCTCTGCCTCTGCCTCTGCCTCTGCCTCCCAAGTTATGTGATTACAATCATAAGTCATCATGTCCAGCTGCACATGTACTTTAATTTAAAAAAACACACCAGTGGATCTGAGTGAGGGATTTTTTAAGTAATATCTGTGTAATTTACATTTTTGTGTATTTTCTATTTAGAATACATACTGCTTTCATTCCTAGAATGCATATTACTGTTGGAAAAAGTTAATTTGGTGTAATATTGCTTAGGAAAATTTTATTAAATTTTAGATAGATGAGAGGTAGATAGTATGATTATAGTTATTTCAAAACAAAACTACCGGAAAGCCAGGCGTGGTGGCGCACACCTTTAATCCCAGCACTCGGGAGGCAGAGGCAGGCGGATCTCTGTGAGTTCCAGGACAGCTGGGGCTATAGGGAGACCCTGTCTCAAAAAAAAAAAAAAAAAAAAAAAAAAAAAAAAGACCGGAGAGAAGTGTCCAAATGCTTATAGCAGTTGTTTTAGTATGATGGTATTATGGGTGTTTTCCATCCCTCTTTTTTCTGTGTTTAACTTTTTACAAAGTAAAAAATAGGTAGACATCCACTCCTGAGTTAGAGCAAAGGAAGTTATTGCATTGAACTACATTCCTGTTTTAGTATTCAAGGTCCGGAGTTGCTCAAAAAACTATGTTGGAGGCAGGCGCTGCTGAAGTCCTGGTGTTTTCAGTAGGAATTCATAAATAGTTGCCAGAGTTGTGGGGCATCAACAAAGATTAGGGGCTAGGATGAGCACCTCTAATCCAAAAATCCAACACTTGAAATTCATGTTCCAAACTCCAAAATGTTTTGAGCACCAGTGTGATACCACAAGTGGGAAATTCAAAACCAGTTGTTCTGTGACTCGTCTCAGCCAGTTCACTAACGATACTATAAAATTAACTTCAGTCTATGTGCATAAGTACACATGAAATATAATTGAGCTTTATCGTTAAGCTGTGTGCCTATTCCTACGATACCTCATTGTATTTTCAAAACGCCATTTTAAAAAATCAGAAGCCTGAAGCACAGCTGCACCTGAGCATTTCCGCTAATGATCCTCAGTGTATCTTATCTTCAATGCTGATAAGCCAGGAAATTGTCTGACCCATCAGTCTAGGAGTAGGAAGCTAGAATAGGAGTGTGTGGTGATGAATTAATGAGCAGTTGACCTGGGAAGATTCCATTGCTGTGTGAGCATTGCAAGAGTTCCCTGGGCTCTACAGCATCTTCAGACTTAGTGGTGCTGTGCCTGGTTCTTTAGAGGACAGAGACATTTCCTTTAGAAAGCAGCTGCCATGCCTATAGATGCCAGTGAAGGTCATCTCCTTTTCAAGAATGAGGAAAAGCTGGCCTTTAGGAAGGCTGAAGCCAAGACTTGGGCAAATGACTGGGGTAGGATGTCTCCAATAGAAAGGGAAACAGAATTCCATGTGCTTCTGAAGAAAACTTTTCACCAAGGGACCCCTTGCATTTATTAATTAGGAAACTCCACTGAGACCCCACAGCATAGTAACATGACCTCCTTGGGCATAATTTATGTTAGTGAGATGAGCAGGGCATCCTGAACCCATGAAACAAGTTATTGGCCTGACCATCCCTTCTCCATTGTGCTCTGGAGATGCTTATCAGGTGCAGGATGACCCAGCAGCAGCGAAGTCTTCGAGCTGTCCAGTGACTTGTGGGAAGATGATCTTCTCTGAGTTTAAGGAATGGAACTCCCTGTCCTTAAATCTGTCCCAATCAGAGTCGGGGTGCCGTGTCACCTCTGTGAAGCCTGAGTCAACATCACCTCCCCCCTCTTTTCTAACTCATTATATCTTGGTGCTCTTGGTCTGAAGTGTACACTCCTCACAGCTCAACTGCCTTGTCTATTCCCATATTTCTCTGTGGCCGGCCAAGGATTATATGCAAATATTTACTTAGCGCATTGAGTTGAAATTTTATTTGCAAATAGAATAAAGAACATACTCCCGGAGTATTTGGGTCCTTCTTGGAGGATGAGTCTGGACTCAGTGGAGAGAAGAGCAGAGAGCAGAGCCCTAAGAGGCTCGTAGAGTGCTGTTCTTCTAAATTGTAGAGTTACACCTGGGGTCGGGGGTTTTCTTCCCTTTAAGAGTCACTGTGGGTGGAGAGACACAGTAAATTCATCTCAGTCGTGAATAATGAATTATCTGCTACCAGGGGCACTTCTGGACCAAAACACTGAGTTTATTTGTTAAGGAACACGGAGGCAGAAGAAAGGCACGCTGCTAGGAACCAGCCATGCAAGGACATGCATTGAGTTCAATTCCAAGGAAAGTTTAGGATAGAAGGAAGCCTCCTGCAATGATAGAGAAGAAGAGGACATGAGAGTGTTGAGGCCTCCACCCCTCAGAGAAACAGAGCTGGTTTTCATTTGAGATTTGTGGCGTGTGTCTGAGTGATGCTAGCCTGTAAGTGAAACACCCCTTTGAGGGAGAGCCTCATTTCGTCCTGAGTGAGGCTTGAAATTCCTTGGAGCAGACCCTTGCTTTGAGTTGCCTGTTTGCATGGGCCTGTGACCTTGTGCATTATGCAACTAAATCATTTATTTATTTTGTTTCTCTTGAGACTGTTTCTAATTATACGCATTTTGTTTTTGTACTTCCAACAGGAGAACTCTGGAGATGAAAACCGAGCTCTGGTTCATCAGCTTTCCAACGAGAGCAGGCTCTCCATCACTGACTCTCTTTCGGAGTTTTTTGATGCCCAGGAAGTTCTGTTGTCCCCAAGCTCTTCAGAAAATGAGGTTTGTACCCTGTTTTCAGTCAGGTGCCCTGAAAATCTCCTTTGTGGCTTTGTTGACCAACATACTCAGTAAAAATCCATCGATAGAAAGGCTAGATTCAGTGCTCCTGCCAAAGTAATACAGTGTGCTAGAAGAAAAACATTGCAAAATTGAATTGTTCAACTCCCCATTTCTGTTTGTTAGACTTTTTTTTTCATTACAGATTGCTAATTCTGAATTCTATCTATTTATGCACTATTTGATACCTTCTGCATATTTTAATCATGTTAATTTACATTGTACATTTCATATTATCATACAATGACTATTATATTAATTTATACTTACAGTCATTGTTTTAAATTGATACATAAAATCCACACTTTCTAGAATAGGCATGTGCTGCAGTTAGCATTATTGTGTGCAAATGCACATTAATAACTTTACCCATTAAATATAGAATAATCTTATTTATGTATTAATTCCCATAGAAGTATCTTTTCCACAAATAGTTCAAAGACAAATTGTTGACTCCTTTACTCAAACACTAGCATATTCTGGAAATAACTCAGAATAAGAATTTTTTTTTTTTTTTTTGTCTTTTTGAGACAGGGTCTTTCTGTAGCCCCAACTGTCCTGGAACTCACTATGTAGACCAGGCTGGCCTTGAACTCACAAAGATCCGCCTGCCTCTGCCTCCCAAATGCTGGGAATAAAGGCATGTGCCACCACACCCGGCAGAATAAGAATTTTTGTAATGGCAGTAATCTTGAGGTTTATTTGTTGTTTTTCTTCTGAGAACCAAGAATATTTAAAGATTTTCTCCCTCCCTCCTCCTCTCTCTCCTTCTCTCCCTCTCTTCCTTCCTTCTCGTGCTGGCGCTCAAACTCAGGGCCTCTCACATGCTAGGCAAGCACTCCCTTACATCCCTAGCCCTAAGCCGTTTTACTGAGAGCATTGCCTAGGCAGATTTGTATGGGGCCCTCTATGAAAATAGCACCCTAAATTATTTCTATAGATTAGTTGTGTGGAGAGCGGCACATGTGCTCATGGAGTGAACGCTTTCTGAAAGCCTGGCTCTCTTGTTTACTGTAATGTTTATCATTTCTTCTTTCACATAGATTTCTGATGATGATTCATATGTCAGTGACATAAGCGATAATCTTTCCTTAGACAACCTCAGTAATGATTTGGATAACGAAAGACAGACCTTGGGTAAGATTTACATTATTGGTTCTCTGAAAGCCTGGATGTGTGTGTGTGTGTGTGTGTGTGTGTGTGTGTGTGTGTGTGTGTGTGTTTATATGGGCACATATATGTGTGCATGTGCATGTGTGTATAGGCCAGAGGTCCACCTTGGGTATCATTCCTCAGGTGCTGTCCACCTTATTTTTTGATACAGGGTCTTTCACTGGGATTTAGGGCTTTCTGATTAGCCTAGGTTTGCTGTCCAGTGCTGGGATTGCAAGTGTACACCACCATACCTGACTTTTTTTAAACTTTTTTTATTTATTATTTTTATTTTATGTGTATGTGTGTATTGCCTGCATGTAAGTGCACCCGTGTCGTGCAATGACTGCGGAGGACAGAAGAGGCTGTCGGATCCCCTGGACTGGAGTTAGGGACAGTTGTTAGCCACCATGTGGGTGCTGGGATTTGAACCCAAGTCTTCTGCAAGAACAACCAGTGTTCTTAACCACTGAGCCATCTCTCCAGCCCCCATCCCTGACTTTTTTACGTGGGTGCTGGAGATCAAACTCAGGTTCTCATGCTTGTATAGCACAAACTTTACTGACTGAGCTATCTTCCCAGCCCTAAAGTATGCATTTTTATAGACTATTAATCTGCGTGTATAGAATGCCTGCTGCAAAAAATTAGCACATGGTCCATATGATTCAAGATTTTATGATGTGGATGAGGACACAGTACTCACATGTGAAAAGCATATTCATTCAAATAAATTTGCCTGCTTGTGCAAATTTTTATAAGATGAGAGTATTGCAGTTTCATATGAATACCAAAAAATAATGCCAGAGCTAGTCCTTATGCAGCCAAACATTCTCTGGACAAATGCAATGTAGAAGAGGATGTTTTGTCTTCAGATATCTAAGTATTGTTATAACTTAAGAATTTGATAGGACATATAGAATTTTAAAAATCTACGTGGAAATTTAGCTTCAGACTATTCAAAATAATACACTTGGGGCTGGAGAGAGGCTCAGCAGTTAAGAGCACTGGCTGCTCTTGTAGAGGACCCAGGTTCAGTTCCCAGCACCCACACGGCAGCTAACAACTGTCTATAACTCTAGTTCCAGAGATCCTCCACAGGTACTGCATGACACAGGTGCACTTACACACATTCAGGCAATACACTGAGAAATAAAGTAAAAATAATGAATAAAGTATTTTTTAAAAACAAAATAACATACTTGTAGTTCCTCTCGGAGGGATACTGCTAAGATACCCTTTATCACTGCCTAATCCCAAGAAGGAGAATGATGACCAAGAAATATGCTTCAGGGGTGCACAAGATGGATCAGTGGGCAAGGGTGCTTGCTGCTAAAATTGATGATCTGAGTTTGATCCCTAGAAACCATATGGTAGAAGGTGAGAACTGACCTCTGACCTACACACACACACACACACATACACATACCATAGCACACAGATACCACACACATAAATTAATTAATTAATTTAATTTAGTTGCTTTTTAAAGAACAGTATTTCATAATGTTAGTTTGAACTGTCTGGCTGTTATTCCTAAGTAGCTTAGGACTTCAGGAAGCAGACTGAAGCCCATTTAGGAAGGTACCCTTAAAAGGAGACCACCCAGTGCACTGCATGGATCTTTAGCATCAAACACTCCAGGTCATGGTTTCTAGTTTGTCTGTATTCTGCTTTGAATACTCAAAGCACCATCCACCCACCATTCACTTTTCACGTCTACATAGAGACAGTTTCCAGGTAGCTTTATTTCAGTGTTGCTCAGCTCAGCAAGTACTTATGAACTATGGTGATGAATTATCGAAACACTGCAGAGCCTCTTCTGTGAGGACTACAAAGGCAGGTAGGGAATTTTCCCATCATCTGAAAAGCATCCTCTCAGCTTCACACCTGCTGAAAGCAAGACGCTTTGCTCTGTAGTTTTGCTTGAAGAGTTCTGCAGCGGTAAACTCCCTGCTAGAAAAACCAGAAGACCAGCCAGTTTAAAGTGGAAGGCTCACAATGTGCGTGCCAGTTGTTTGTCTGTGAAAACAAAGATGCAAATGGGAAGAGGAATGAAGAGACATCACCTCCTCTCTCAGGTGAACAGCATGCACACTGGAACAGTGCTGCCAACTGCAGATGAGGTAGAGGACGCATGCCGAAGCCCTCCACCTCTTGAAGGCCTTAAGGAGGGAGCCAAAGGTGGCACAGAGCAAACGAGGGGTGTGAAGGCAAAGTTGGGGAGAAAGGATTGGTCTAGAACCTAGACAATAGCTATGCTGTTAACAGGAGCCAGGAAGAGCGGAGAAGAGGTCCAGCTGGTTCTCTCTAGCTTATTCTATAGCGATTGAGCTAGAACACTAACCAGTGCCACATCAGTTTAAGCACACACTGGACATAGCTTCTTCATCTCTACTTGAACACTAGAAATGGCTGTCCCCAGTTCTCTGCAGACATTCTCGGAGGGTGATGGGATTTCTAAACATCTTGAAAAGACATCTGTAGAGAAAACCTTTATTTCCTACATTATTTTTGCCTAAAAACAGAAGATTAAAACTGAGTCTTGGGACTAGCTCAGTTGTTAGAGTGCTTGCCAGATTGCTCAAAGCCCCACTACCACATAAAACCAGACGTAGTAGTGCTCACCTGCAATCCCAGTACTAGAGAGGTAGAGGCAGGAGGATCAGAAGTTCAAGGCCATCCTTGGCAACATAGAGAGCTCAAGGCCAGCATGAGCAACGTGAGACCTTGTCTCAAAAAGTAAATAAATAAAACATAGTGTTGTTCTAATATTACACTAGAATTTCTTAGAGCTTACTGGGTATTTAGAATATTTCTTATTAGTTCCCCCCACACTGGGCACTTGGCAGGACTTGCCACTATGCTGGGTGCTGTGGAGATTAAGTGACTGAGAATGTGGATTGAGGAACATCCTTGAGTACCAGCCAGCTCTATCACCTACTGCTGATGTGTGCTAGGAGAAGGTCCTCCTGCTCTCTGTCCTGCTCCCTTCATCTATAAAATGGGAATAATAATACTATTTACTTCAATAAATATCATAAAGAATAAATAGAATAGTGCATGTAAAGTGCTGAGGATACCGACACCACAAAGAGACGTGTCAGCTGTCAGTGATGTGGGTGTGGGGCTAGGGTGGCGGTCTTTCAGTGTAATCAAAATGAGACCACCCAGAAAGCTATTTCTGAAAATGGTTCCATTTCTAGCCATGTTGCAGTGCCAGATTTTTCCCATATAAGCAATTAAGGTAAGTTCAAAACTTAATTGGATGCTACTACAGAGTATGGCCCCAATTTCATATTTTTCTGTTCATCAAAGCAGCCTCTTAATTCAGAGTAATTGGTTATATGCTAAGTAAATGCTAAATGTTTGTGTTTAATAAATAAATATACACCAAAAGATATATTGATGAAATCCAAAAGATGATTGAAATTCTACACAATTAGGACAGGAAAGGCGTTTCAAGAGCATGAGAATTTGATATGTTTAAAGTTCGTGCCTGTCTAATCTTCCATAGGCATAGAAACCCTTTTTCCAGGTTTATTCTGAATATAAAAACTATGAGGACCTAGTTTTTGACCAGGAGCTTAAAGGCCTTCCCAGGAATAAAGCCCAGGGGTTCTGGTGTATGTAGTTTAGGGCATTTATTTATTTGGCAGTGCTGGGGATTGGTGCGTGCTAAGCACATGCTGCACCACAGAGCTACACCCTAGTCCTGGTTTTTGGTGTTTAATTGCTTAGGATTCTTTTGCTTGATTTCTGCCTTCCATCATACTCTGGATAACTGAGTACAGTAGTAACACTGAGTACCAGCTAGGTAAGAGTTTATTCACAGATTTTTTTTTTTTTTAAAGTGGTGCAATAAAACCAAAAGCTTTCCAACACCAGTCAGATCTCCTTTCCTTTTAGGGCCTGTTCTTGAAAGTGGTGGAGAAGCCAGGGCCCAAAGGCGAACCTGCTTGCCAGCCCCAGGCCCCAACACCAGCAACATCAGTGTGTGGAACATCCTGCGGAACAACATCGGGAAAGACCTGTCGAAGGTGGCCATGCCGGTGGAGCTGAACGAGCCCCTGAACACGTTGCAGCGACTGTGTGAGGAACTGGAGTACAGTGAGCTGCTGGACAAGGCAGCGCGCATGCCCAGCTCCCTGGAGAGGATGGTGAGCCCCAGTCCCTGTGTCTGTTCACCTGGACCCTCCGGAGCCTGGAAAGCCCAGTTCTCGTGTGATCACTTGTGATCACTCGGGTTGGTGTCTCCTGGCTGTATGCAGTCACTGCATCACAGTCTGCAGTAGGCAAGGGGCTTCACTGTGCAGCTGGTGCCTGGGGGTGGTTCTGCCCTGGGCTTTTGTGATCTGATGGTTCTGATAGGCCTGGCTGGAAAACAAGGCTTTAAGGCTGTCTCCGTGTTTATTTTTACTACCCTGGGTGGACTGAATCTAATTTCTTGAGCTGTTTCTCTCATCTAGAATAAATTTCCCTTGAGAATGTTTCTGTTTATTTCTGGAATTGTCCCATTAGTTCCTAGAGTTTGGGAAAATATTCACAGATGCTTTTACATCAGAAAGATTCCCATTTTTTCTCTCTTATAGAGTAGTTTTTGTTTTTTTTTTAACCTGTGAATCTTGAAAATTTTTATTCTGGAAACTATTCTTTCAACCTCTTCATATGTGACTTGGTGAACAGTTAAGTCCTTGCCTGGGTGGGGAGCTGGCCAAGTGTCCCTCATATGCAGAGTTCTCTCACAGCATTCACTGACTGGCTAACTTGGAAAAACAGCCCCCACCCAGGGCTCCACAGACCCAGCCAACAGCACCCTGCAGTGGTATAGGGTGCAGTCTTCTTCAAACTTTTCAGTCTGCCTTTATGGCCCTCATGGAACTTCATCACTGCCAAGATTGGGAGATGAAGAGGAAACCTCAGCTACCAGCCAAGAGAGACCCCATTGTCACCCCGCCTGCTCACTGGGGCCTCTTCATCAAAGAGATTCTTTTTTAGTGACACTAATGATAATAAATGCCCCCAACGCTATGATTTTATCCTTTTTGTTAAATTTTCTCCAGAGAATGCCTGATGAAAAACGGGAGGCAAATAGCTTCTAAAGCAGGTATTAAAAGCCAACACTTTGGGGTAGCTCATTTCAAAGAAAACAATTCACTTTGAACATGAAAGTATTCTCAAAGGTGTTTCACTCCTGTGGTAATTTAGAAACCCTTAAGATGTTCAGCAATTGATCCCTATACTTGACCTTAAACAGAAGCTTAAGGAAAGGGGGAGGTGGGCACCTGTAATTCCAGCACTGGAGAGGCTGAGGCAGGAGGATTGGTACAAGTTCAAGGTCACCACAGGCTATAATTTTTGAGATCTTATCTCAAAAATAAAAGAAGCATGTTTGAGGCAAGGCTTCACATCCCCAGCACAACCCTGGGTTAAAAGCCACAGCCCATGCATTCCCATTACTACTGTGAAGTCTCAATGCTCTGCTGTGTCACCAAAAGGAGGCATTTCATTAAGTCTGCCTCCACCCTTCTGACTAGTACTAGGTTATTTAATTGATTTGTCATATTTTAAGTTTTTGTTTAAAAATTAGTTTTTAAAATTTAAGTGGATGTGACTACTATCCTCAGGCCTCTTGGGGTAAGTCTATAGCGCAGCGCTCAGCGCCGAGACTCCCTAAGCCTCATTCACCCTTCCACCCCACCCCCTCGCCGTTCTATACTCCTAGTTTGAGCCCTGCTCCACTCCTAGTCTTGGGGCCGCAGACACCTGGGGAACCAATACTGCTTCCAGACCCTTCTCACCCAGAGCAA